GTTTCCCCCCCCCCGGGGGGGGGGGGGAAAAAAAAGGGGGGGGAAAATTTTTAAAAGGGGGAAAAAAAAACCCCAAAAAAAACCCCCCAACCCCAAAAAAGGCCCCCCTTTTTGAAACCCCTTTTTTAAAAAAAAGGGGGGGAAAAAGTTAAAAAAAAGGGGAAAAACCCCCCCTGGGGGGGAAAAAAAACCCCCCCGGGTTTTGGGGGGGGGGCAAAAAAAGGGATGGGCCTTTTTTTTTTTTTTGGGTTTTCCCCCCATTTCCCCAAAAGAAAAAAACCCCCAAAAAAAGACCCAAAACCCCCCCCGGGGGTTTAAAAACCCCCTTTTTTTTTAAAGGGGGAAACCCCCCCGGGCCCCCCCCCAAAAAAAACCCCCCCAAAAAACCCCCCAAAAAAACCCCCAACCCCCAAAATTTTTAAAAAAAAAAATTTTTTTTTTAAACCCCCCCCGGGAAAATTTTGGTTTTTTTTTTTTAAAAACCCCCCCCCGGAAGGTTGGGGGGTTTTAAAAAAAAACCCCCCCCCCCCCCGGGGGGGGAAAAAAAAAAAAAAAAAATTTTTTTTTTCCCAACCAAAAAAAGGGGGAAAAGGGGGGAAAAAAAAAAAAAGGGGGGGGTTTTTGGGGGGGGAAAAAAGGGGGGGGCAAAGGGAAAAACCAAAACCCCGGGGGGAAAAAAAAAAAAGGGAAAAAAAAAAAAAAAGGGGGGAAAAAAACCCCCCCCCAAAAAAAGGGGGGAAAAGGGGGGGGGGGGGAAAAAAAAAAAAAACCCCCCCCCCAAAAAACCCCCCCCTTTTTTTTTCCTTTGTGGGAAAAAAAAAGGGGGGGAAAAACCCCAAAAAAACGGGGGAAAAAAAAAAAAACAGGGCCCAAAAATTTTTAAAAAAAAAGTTTGGGGAAAAAGGGGCCCCCCAAAAAAAGGGGGGCCCCCCCGGGAAAAAATTTTTTTCCCCCCCCCCCTATTTTTAAATTTAAAAATTTTTTTTTTTTAAAAAAAAATTTTTTTAAATTTTTTATTTTTAAAAAAAATTTTTTTTGGGAAAAAAATTTTTTCCCCTTTTGGGTTTTTTTTTTAAAAAAATTTTTTTTTTTTGGGGGGAAAAAACCCCAAAAATTTTTCCCCCCCCCCCCAAAAATTAAATTTTAAAAAAAATTTTTTTTTTAAAAAAAAAATATAAAAAAAAAAAATTAAAATATAAAAAAAAATTTTAAAAAATTTAAAAAAAATTTTAAAAAATTTTTTTTAAAAATTAAATTTTTTTAAAAAAATTAAAAAATTTGGGCCCCCCCAAAAATTTCCAAAAAACCCCTTTTCCCCCTTTTTAAAAAAAAATTAAAATTTTTTTTTTTTTTTTAAAACCCCTTTTTTTAAAAACCCTTTTCCCCCCCAAAATTTTTTTTTTTTTTAAATTTTTTAAAATTTTTTTGGGGGGGGCCCCCCCCTTTTTTTTGGGGGGTTTCCAATTTTGCCCGGGGTTTTTAAAACTTTTCCAATTTTTTTCCCAAAAAAAAAATTTTAAAAATTTTGGGGCAACAAAAATTTTGGGGGAAACCCCTTTTTTTCCAAGTTTTTTAAAAGGGGGAAAAAACTTTTTTAAAAAAAGGGGGGTTTAAAAAATTTTTTTTTTAAAAAAACCCCTTTTCCCCTTTTTTTTCCCCCCAAAACCCCGGGGGTTTTTAAAATTTTTTTTAAAAAAAAAAAAAAGGAAATTTAAAAAGGGAAAAAAAAAAAAACCAAAAAAAAAAAAAAAAAATTTTTCCCCCAAATTAATGGTTTTAAAATTAAAAAATTTTTTTTTTTTAAAAAAAAAAAAAAAAGGAAAAAAAAGGGGCCCCCCAGGGAAAAGGAAAAAAAACCTTTTTAAAAAAAAATTTTTCCCTTTTTTTTTTTTAGGCCTTTTAAAAAAAAGGGGGGGTTTAAAATTTGGGGGCCAAAAAAAAAAGGGGGGGGGGTTTTCCCCCCAGTTAAATTTTTTGGGGGGAAAAAAGGGGGGGGGAAAACCCCCCCCAAAAAAAAATTTTTTTTTTTTCCCTTAAAAAAAAAGTCCCCCTTTTTTAAACCCCCCTTTTTTTTTTAAAAAATTTTTTTTTAACCCCCCCCAAAAAAAAATTTTTTTTTTTTTTTTTAAAAAAAAAAAGGGGGGGGGCCCCCCCCAAAAAAAAAACCCCCCCCCCCCCCCCCAAAAAAAAAAAAAACCCCCAAAAAAAACCCCAAAAAAAAAGAAACCCCCCAAAAAACCCCCCCCCCAAAAAAAAAACCCCCCCGGGGGGGGGGGTTAAAAGGGAAACCCCGGGGGAAAAAACCCCAAAAGGGCCATAACCCGGTTTCCCCCCCGGGGGGGGCCCCCGGGCCAAAAAAAAATTTTTTTTTGGGGGGGGGCCCAGAAAAAAAAAGGGGGTTTCCCCTTTAAAATTAAAAAATTTGGGGAAAAAAAGGGGAAAAAAACCCCCCTTTTTTTTTAAAAAAAACCTTTTTTTAAAAAAAAAAAAATTTTTTTTTTTTTTCCCTTTATTTAAAAAAAAATTTTTTTTTCCCCCCCCCTTTTTAAGGGGGGGGAAAAAAAAATTTTTAAATTTTTAAAAAGGTTTTTTTTTAAAAATTTTTTTTTAAAAAAAAAAAAAAAAAAAAAAAAAAAATTTGGGGTTTTTAAAAATTTCCAAAATTTTTTTTTTTTTAAACCGTTTTTTTTTTTCAAAGGGGGAAAAAAAAAAAAGGGAAAAAAAAAAATTTTTTTTTAAAAAAAAAAACCCCGGGCCCCCGGGGGGGGGGGAAAAACCCCCCCTTTTTTAAATTTTTAAAAAATTTAAAAACCTTTTTGGTTTTTAAAAAAAAAATTTTTTTTTTAATTTGGGGAAAAAAATTTTTTGGAAAAAAAATTTTTTTTTTTTTAAAAATTTTTTTTTCCCCCCCAAAAAAAAGAAAAAAAACCCCCCCCAAACTTTTAAAAATTTTTTTCCCAAAAACCAAAATTTTTAAAAAACCCAAAAACCCCCCCCCCGGCTTACGCACCAGGGTTATTGACGTACTAGAACGCCTAAATTCTAGCGCTTTCAAATCTAGTGAGAGAAAGCTGGTAGGCCTATATATGAAAGAATGGGTCTGTGTGGTCAGTGTGCACAGTATAAAAAACATCCTGCAGCACACAGTGCATAATGAGAAAAAAAAACTCCGACTGTGTTTTTGGTTTAAAACAGCAACTTTGCAGTGTATTTTCATATGGTATTTATAGTTGTATTCTAGTTTTCCCTGTCTCATTTTATATAATGGCAGACATATTACAGAACTTGAGATGATTTTGATTGGTTTCATAATGAAAAGTACCTTGAAATTGAGCTCAAATTAGCAGAAATGTTCAATTTTTACCAAATTTCAAAAGTAAACAAATCATGCCAAGCGTGCAATACACGTCAGCTAGTGAGTCTGATATTCTTTCACAAGTGTGCCGATATTTATACCATTTTTTGCACTAATGTAGTAGTCTGCATAACAGTAAATCTTCTATTTTATGTGAGAATAAAATTCAAAATGGAAAAAAAAAAATGTAAGAGAGGCCTTGAGACGTGACTAATGAACAGAGGAAATGTCATTTTAGTGCCAGGAATGTCTTTCTTGTTTATTCTGGACCCTATTTGGAAATTGGCACCTTTTGAAATTTGTGTGAAATTGGCAAAATTGCTAAATCCTGACCACTGTATTGGATAGTTGAAATCGGTAAATGGGTGGTTTCTTGCACTCATTCGATAAAAAATGGAGTTCTAGCGAAATATTAATGATTTTTTCGACTAGTACAGTGAAATTGGCCGAAAATAGGGCTCAAGGTGGGCAAAATCGCCGATGCATAAACATCGTCGAGACCGCTAACTTCGCGAGGGCATAATTCCGTAAGTTTTCCATCAAATTTCATACTTTTGGTGTGATTATGATCAGGAAAAGATTCTCTATCTTTTCCTAAGACAAAAGAGTTTTTTTTTTTTTTTGAAATTTGGGCAACCCTGAGAACAAGTTTCTGAGAGGGCCTGTCGACCCTGAAAGGGTTAATGGTTTAAGTCAGGCCGAAAAATTGTCATGAGTTTTATTCTCGTACGTATAGGTTGTGTGTGTATTACTAGTCACTGTATTGTGCCTTTTTATTTTTTGTGTATGCAGTATGTAAGTTATAATATTTAGAAAGCAGGAAATTATTTAGTGATCAGCCTTAACCTTCCCTCCTTCCTGGTGGGATTTGTGGTTTGTGCCTAGGCATAGGGGATCTCTTCTCCAGGAAGAATGCCATTTTCACCAGTGGGTGCCTACCAGACTAAGAACCCAGCATCTCTTAATGCATAAATAATGGGGATATTTTCCCTCTTGTCTATATCTGTTCACACTCTTCCAGTGACATAAAATGTCACAGGCAAAGATTGTCACTGGACATGAATTGTGAATGATGTACTGCAGAAAATAAAGAAGTAAATTTTGAATAGTTCTTTTGTGCTGTGATTGATTTATGGCAGTACTAAATTGGTATTGGTAATGTAAATTTGTTGTGTAATCATAGAATATGCTTAAGCACTGTATAATCAACAGATTGTAGTGCCCTGCAAATACAATAAAGATCCTAACATCCTTCCCTATATAAGTGAAAATATTGGGTTCAGTTGTAAAATCCTGCATTTGTGGTCACTGCAGGGACCATGCTCGCCTACCTGGTGTGTTTGGGTGAATCGTATTAAATTGGAACGATACATTGGATGTCACTCTGGTCTGCTAGTTTTAGAACTGTTTTGCCATGGTCTCTAACTCCACTACATTTAGTTACCTAATCTTACTTGTATGTATTCCTCCACTCCATTTCCATAATGCTAGGATTCTTCAGTATCTCAGCACCCCAGTCCTCTACATAATATGCTGGTTTGAAATGCATGAGGGATTTATTTATTTCATTGTACAAATATGTATCATGTCCAAATAAAAATAAATTAAATGTGTAGAATTTTTTAACTTCATACTTTATTTGCAGGAGTTATAGCAGAGGATGGTCATGGAAACTCCATCACCGCAATGCGTTGGCCTTGAATTTGTGCGCCAGTACTACACGGTGCTCAACAAGGCCCCCATGCACCTTCATCGGTGAGTGGGTGGAAAGTTTTTTTTTTTTCCTTGACCGGTGATAATATAGGTAGGAAATAAAGGCCTGTGCAGTAGGGCCCCGCTTTACGGCGTTCCGCTAATATGGTCATTTCAAATTATGACCAAAACTCGCTATACGGCTCCCGCCACCTGACTTTCTAATACGGTCACCGCACCCCACCCGGTTTGTTTACATTCTCTGTGAGATCTGTAAGCACTAAGTCTCTCCATTATGTCTGGAAACTCCAAAATTTTAAGTGTTTTTAAAAGTTATTTCATATTTTATATATACTCTGGTAATTATACTTATGTATACCTGTACTTAAATAAACTTACATACTGTGCTGACATGCAGGTACACATTAAAATCAGTAAGAGTGTCTTATGTCTCCAGACGTCATATTAGTAATGATAATAATAATCATCGAGTCTCATTAAATGTGGTATATTACGTTGATAGACATATTTTCATTAATCCATCTATGATATTTTTTCAAAATTACATAACAAACACGATGCATAACATATAAATATGATAAATACACCCCACAGTAGAGTAAATAAACATAAATGTGAGATTGGTAGCAGACGACTTGCACAAGTGACGCCATATTAGAAATAATAATAATCATCGAGTCTTATTAAATGTCGTATATTACGTTGATATACACATTTTCGTTAATCCATCCATGATATTTTTATCAAAATTATATAATAAACATGATACATAACATATAAGGATGATAAATACACCCACAATAGAATAAATAAACATAAATATGAGATGTGGTAGCCAGATAACTTGTAAAAGTGATGCCAAAAATAGCATTTTCTTAATTAACATAAGAAAAAGTTTTTTGGGGTAACTGTAAAAAATTTTTTCCTTCGTATGTTTTAAAGAAAGTTTTTCAGTATACACAAAACAGTTACAAGATTATCTACTAACACAAATTGTAGAAACCCGGAAAAACCCAAAAAGAAGTACTTATTTCCATTCCCTTTCATTCACACATCATTTTTTCCCAAAAAATGATTTACATGAAAGGGGAGTGTTCTTCTTTGTTTTTTCTCCCCTATCAATGTAAGACAACTTGTACACAATGTAAACTTGTACACAAACCAATGTACACTGTGTTTTTTAAAAAATTTACCTTTTGCCGGGTTTTTTTTTCTAACTCTCGCCGTCCCCCCCCTTGCACTCATTCTTTCTCTCTCTTTTTTATTCATTTTATCTCATTTACTTATCTTGACCCTACTTAAACACAAATTTTTAAGGGTAAGTAATGGTGAACTTATATACATTTTATCGCCCTTGGGATGTTAAAAACCTTTTAAATGTTTTCGACGTATAAATACGCTTGGGGCCAATGTTTCTGCGATTATACTCAGGCAGGGACGTACTTCCACTTGATCCTGGGAGGGAAGAAGGCTGCACTGAAGGAGGGTTTAATGTTGCAGTTTAAAAATGTAGTCACCGAGATTTAAGTCACTTAAAAACAACCGGGGAAACGTCTAAAATCCCACCATTACGTCAATCGAGCGGCCCCCATCCTTTCGCATGCTATTTTATTACTTTTTTAACAAGTCACTAGAAACTAGCACCTTCCCGAAACTACTCAAGATGGCAAGGGTTACACCAAACATAAAGGTGGTGACCCTACAGACTTAAACAACTATAGGCCAATATCAAACTTACCATTGCTATCCAAAATCTTCGAGAAACTTGTGCACAGGAGACTATATTCATTTAAAAACAGCACAAACATACTCAACCATTGCCAATTTGGATTTAGGAAAAATAAAAGCATAATGATGCAATCATAAAATGCTAGATCTGCTTTACACAGCATTGGAAAAAAAGGGAATATCCACTAGGATTTTTATTGACCTAAGAAAAGCTTTGACACAGTAGACCACGACATCCTACTCCACAAACTTGACCATTACGGTATAAGAGGCCATGCGCTTGCTTATTTTCAAATCTTACCTACTAATAGGTATCAGTATGTTACCTTAAAGACACAGCATCAACAACTGGCCACTTGATACTGGAGTTTCCGCAGGGAATTCTTGGTCCCTGCTCTTCTCATATACATCAATGATCTTCCAAACGTATCCCAACACCTGAAACCTTTTCTCTTTGCTGACGACACGACTTATGTCATCTCTCACCCTAATCTTGCCACACTCAAAAAACCCTATGTTAACGAGGAGTTGATCAAAATATCGACTTGGATGACACCCAATAAATTTATGCTTAAACATGACGAAACCTCTGTATTATGTTTGGTACAGGCAGAGATGCACAAATTAACATTAAGATCGAAAACACTCTAATTACCAGACATAATGATGGCAAATTCCTAGGCCTATACCTTGACAACAACCTGAATTTCAGCACCCATATCCAACACATAACCAAAAAAGAATCCAAAACAGTTGGACCTTCTCCAAGATCGATACTAGTGCCGCAAAATGCCTTCTCCACTATACCATCAATTATTATCCATACCTCACATGCTATTGTTGCTTGGGGATCAACTGCAGCAAACACCAAAAGCCAATAATAACCCAACAAAAAAGCTGCAGTAAAATAATCATTTAAATCCCATCCTGGCAACACCCCCCACCCTCTTTCATAGATCTAAACTACTCCTGTTCATACATTAAGATCGACAACACTCTAATTACCAACATAATGAGGGCAAATTCCTAGGCCTATACCTTGACAACAACCTGAATTTCCGCACCCATATCTAACACATAACCAAAAAAGTATCCAAAACAGTTGGGATCCTCTCCAAGATACGATACTACGTGCCGCAAAATGCCCTTCTCACACTATACCACAATTATTTATCCATACCTCACCTATGCTATTTGTGCTTGGGGATCAACTGCAGCAACACACCAAAAGCCAATAATAACCCAACAAAAAGCTGCAGTAAAGAATATCACAAAATCCCATCCTGGCAACACACCCCCCCACTCTTCATAGATCTAAACATACTCCCTGTTCAGTACATCCACACTTACTTCTGTGCAATCTACATCTACAGGACCTTAAACTCCAATATCAACCTTGACCTAAAATGCTTTCTTGATAGTTGTGACAGAACCCACAGGCATAACACCAGACACAAACATCTCTACGACATTCCCCATGTCCGACTAAACCTTTACAAAAATTCAATGTATGTAAAAGGGCCCTAAAATCTGGAACACCCTACCTGAGAACTCTAGAACTGCAGACACATTCATCACCTTCAAAACTACCATTAGAAAACATCTTGTCTCCCTGATAAACCCCATCACTAACTACACGAATACCACCTGGTGGTTCACACTTACACTCACTCACCCATTTGACCATAAACAGAAATATTAATCTCAATCTTAAAATAATGAATCCTATGATACTCCAATACTGAAACTATGTACTGTGCCAAAACAAAAGCATTCACATTGCTAAACTCACAAACTAGTAAGTATTTAGTCACTTAGCCATAATACCAACTTACCTCATAATCTGTAATATTTTAAAATAAAGAATTAAACTAAGTCTGCCCGAAATGCCTAGCCATGCTAGGCGTTCTAGTGGTACACTCTGTAATCATTATTTAACTACATGTAAACCACACAACAACCAAATTCTGTAAATTCAACATTGTAATCTTTATAGAGAATAAACTTTGAATTGAATTGAATAAAGCACCCTTCTGGCAAGACAGTGATGGAGTGAATGATGGTGAAAGTTTTTCTTTTTTGGGCCACCCTGCCTTGATGGGAATTGGCCAGTGTGATAATAAAAAAAAATAAAATTTTAGCGGCTTCAAATCAAGCGGGAGAAAGCTGGTAGGCCCACAGGTGAGAGAATGGGTCTGTGTGGTCAGTGTGCACCACATTAAAAAAATCCTGCAGCACACATTGCGTAATGAGAAAAAAAAAAGATCGTTTTTTGGAATAAAACGCCGACTTTGAGGTGTATTTTCGTATAGTATTTATCGTTGTATTCACGTTTTCATGGTCTTAGGTGATAAAATGGAAAACATATTACAGAAATAGAGATGATTTTCATTACTTTGACGATGAAAACGACCTAGAAACTGAGCTCAAAGTAGCGGAAATGTTCGATTTTTACCAATGTTCAGGAGTAAATAAATCGCACCACACGTCCAATACACGTCAACTGGGGAGTCTAATATTCTTTCACTAGTGCACTGATTTTAATACATTTTAAACAATAACGCAGTAGTCTGGCATAACAGTAAATTTTGAATTTTTTGTATAATAAAAAATCAAAATAGAAAGCAATAAATATAAGAGGGCCTAGAGATGTGACTAAGTAATGGAACAGAGCATATGTTAATTAGTGCCGACGAATGTCTACCTTTTTATTCTGGACCTATTTTTGGAAATTGGCATCTTTTTAGTTTGCGGTAAAATTAGCCAAATTGCCAAGTTCTGACTACCATATGTAGTCCAAGATTAGTAAATGGGTCAGTTTTTCTTGTACTCAGCTGATAGATAAAATGGAGTCCTAAGAAATAGCTATGATTTTGGTCAACTGGAACAATGAATTGGCTGAAAATAGGGCTCAAAGTTGCGAAATCGCCGATAACGCATAGGTCGCCGAGACCGCTACTTCGCTTAGCATAAATCCTTAGTTTTTCGACCAAATTTCGAACTTTTGTGTCATTACCATCGGAAAAATTCTCTAATCAATTCATAAGGAAAATAAATTTTTTTTTTTTCAAAAATTGAGCTACATAGAATACAGTTTTCAGAAAGGGGCCGAACAGTCAAAGGTTAAATATCATAGAACAATGTGTGGGTGGGTCCTGGTATGGTAGCCCGGCTGACTACCATACATAACCACACTTGATTTCTTACAATTAATACTAACTTGTCTCGCCCTAGATTCCCCTTTTCAGGTCTCAAGGCCCAAATCTGAGGTCAACGCACCCAGTGTCCCAAGAATTTTCAAAAAAAACATTTGT